ACCCTTCGTGAGACCAGCATCTGTACTTCCCTAATCATAACTATCGTACCATAGAGCCACATTACTTGTCTAGACTCACAAATCCAGGTTTCTATTCACTCGTATCATGTCCAGCATGCAAAGTCACGACGATAAAATCAACATTCCAAGTACTGGTGGCTTCTTCCATCCGTCAACTCCACCTCCACTTTACGCGTCAACAAGAGACTCTTGGGAGGAGGCTAACGATAGTGACTCTGATGAAGACCGCGCGTCACCCGTTCTCAATCCAACGATATCCGCAACCCAAGCCAAAGCCCCAACGTCTTTCCCCGAGCACCTGCCATACCGCCTTCCACCGCCGCCTCCATGGAAACGTCTGTGGCTTAGCGATACATTTCGCATCGCTATGGCCTTATCCTGCTTCCTCATCATCTTAGCTGGTGCAATAACAGGGGCAGCCTTCCTCATAATCTTCCTCCAGAAGGGAAGCTTTCACCCGAATGCTGGTCCTAGTATGGTGCGTTCTACAAGAACGATACAGGTCACTGTGACTACCGTTATTAGCGAACGAATGAAAGAGACTGGGACAGCAATGATGACGACGATGCAGACACGACATGCTCCGGTGACTACTGCAGTTGGTGGACTCGGGAAAGAGATGGGCCCTGTTACGACGACGATGATCTAGAAGGAGTGGAAGTGGGTTAAGATTGGGATGCGAGACGACTACTATACTGGGTCGTCCTACGAGCGTCAGTGGTACGACGTGGTGAGTGGGACATGTTGTGTTGCTAGGATTACGGGATTCAATATAATAGACACCAACTTGCTCTGTGATTTAGAACCATATGATTGCGATACAAGAACTACTGTACTGACTATATTTAGCTTTGTAACTATCGTACACACCCCGTCATGATGGCCTGAAGCCTCTCAACTCACCCATCGCGAGGCGGAAAACGTGAATCCCAGTGCTCTCCGTATGTTCCAAAGAGATATCTAAGACGTCTCTCAAAGCCTTCAACCGTGAATGTAGCATTACCTGGCGTCATGACGTACCTCCAGGGGCCTTCATGCATGACCGAGAAGGTGTCACCGCTATCGTTTCTGACCTGTGAAGCGGAATAAGCCGGGTTGACGACGACATAAATGTGAATACCGAGCTTGTGAAGGCGTCTGAGCAGCCTGAAGAGAACACGCAGAACGCGTCGCACTTTCCGGAGGGTTTGAGCCTTTGTACCGTGACCGGTCTCGACGATAAAGAAAATCTTGGCGCCTTTGCTGAGTCTGCACAGTTCTTCGAGGCGAGTGAGAACAACCTCACGGTTTTTCAAGTGATGCTCTGTCACCACCAGACTTAATCTTCCTATCTTGGAAGTAAGATCGAGGCCACCGCGCTCGTCGGCCGCGTAGTGCTCGAAAACCTTGCCCAGTAGCTCGTGTCGAGCGCGAAAGTCGAAACGGGCGTCTTGCTTTATCAGCTCATTTATGATGTCCATGTGCAGTCCGATACCAGTGTATTCTTCTTCGAAAGCGTGTCGTAGAGTCGAAAGGCCGTTGACAAAAGAGATCTTGCCATCTTTACTGGAGAGGAAAGTGACGGAGCTTTCGGTCAAAAGATGCCCAGCAATAATGTCGCGTAGTTCCTGCGGTAGTCGTTCATCGAAAGCTTCGCAAAAAGGGCGGCACTGGGCCTTAGCCTGAGCCTCCACTTGATCGGTGAAGCTCGTCCGTGCCAGGCGTAGATTCCCTCCTGCCTTCCTCAGCGCTTGCTTCTCTCGAATGAGCCTCGCTTTGGGGTTCGCTCTTTTCATCTTGTCAAGTTCGGCCGCTTTGTCATTGAAAGCCTCGCTAAGACTAGCGATCGTGTCGAGCGTCCTGTCAAAATGTCAGCCTTATGCACCTGGTGAGCAGACGCAGGCCTACCTTTTTGCCTCAATACGCCAATTCCCGGAGCTCATGACGCCGGTAGTGGCCATAACGGTGTTCTGTTAGGGTATGCTGGTGGAAGCCTTGCTCATCGATCTGATGAGAGGGAAGGGACAGTGGAAGTTCCCGGTGATGCACACAAAGTCGCGACAGTTTCAGCAAGTTACGGGACGAGGTTATCGGCGGTGGTTTAAAGTGATAGACGTGATAGCTGATGTTGTAAGGAAGTGCGACAAAGTTTGGTGGTTGTTGTTGATTGCGCACTAGATAGCGCAAACGGACGCCGGGGCAGTCACAGCCCGGCCACCACGTGGATGACGCGTGACAAGAGATACGGTGTAGCCAAGCATAACATCAACGGCGCGCATTACGATCTATAAGTCTTCACCGTCGATGACCTCCAATGCATGTCAGCTGGGAGCCAAAGGCTAGTAAAGGGTTGGGCACTCACCGCCAAGCCATGCCTGCGACGTTCACAGGCATGCAGTTTGTTTCCTGCTCCAACCTTGGAACGCATCCATCTCTTCTAGACGATACTGAAATTCGTCTACCAAGCCGCGATAATCTCCAAAACCAGCAATGCTGGCGCCGACAATGTAGCCAGCCTTTCTCAACCGGCACAGACACTCAATCATGGGGGCAGTACCCTCCAAGAGGAGAGCATTTTGACCATCATCAGGTATCGCCGAGGTATCCATATAGTCAAGAAGTATGTGTATCAATGCACCGGCTCGCAACTGGAACAGTAGCTCGAGATCTCGAATTTGTTCTTCCCAGCTTCGCGGAGAATACATCCGAAAGACTATATTACCAGGACGGTCTTTCTTCGGGTCGAACGCTAGAAAATCTGGAGATACGACGATACAATTCTTCGTAATGAGCTTATAACGCGAGGTGTGTATAGATGGGGCGTTCTCGTCAAGAAAGCGCCTCAAATCCACGAGGTGCCACCGTACATTGAAGGTATTTGCGCGGTACCAGACGGCCATCATTCTCGCTAGCATGGCCTTGCCGACATACTCGACCTTCCAGTAATGTGCGGGTGGATGATACTGGTCATAAGCATAAATGGGCTCGCAAGTTCCACCCGCTGCCACGCCCGTGCGACTGTGGCCTATGACGCGTTCAATGATCATGTCACACAACTCTGGGGGCAGAGAAACGAGGATACTTTGGCACATGTACTTGCATGACGCTCTTCCATAGGTATCGAAGACTTTCAAATTTTGTAAGGCTCGCGTGGCGGCCTTATGTTTCCCAGAGGCATATTGCGCATGGATACGCTGACGGGCGCTGGTCTTTTGCGTTAATGTGAGCCCGGATGGACGAGGGTTGCCTGAACTCACGCAACAGCCTGTTGATACAGCTTCAACACTTCTTTGGCAGTTGTTTCTTTACGCATGACGTTTCTTTGATTCTTGTGATAATGATCTGTTTAGAATGCGGAGGGATGGTACGCAAGAACGACTTGACATTGTGCGGGGCTAGGCAGCAGCGCGGGTATCTAGATAGCGTCTTGGCACTGTAACACGCATGCGCGGGGTGCAAATGCCATCCCAGTTGGATCGTGACATTGGCATCGTGAAGTAGTAGGTGGTGTGCGTCTCCTATTCATTGTCAGCCGAGAGCCTACCGCCATGTTCAACCGGACACTTACAGCCATACCAGATTCGAGCCATACCCAGTGGAAAAGCAACTTCGCGTATCATTGGTCGAATTTTCTGAAACCGAGTCATAGAGTGAGCCGTTGTTCGGCCATGTTGATGATAGCATGATGCCGGTGGAAAGGCCGTATCCAGCAGCCGCCAACCGTGACAGTAAGTCAGCTACAGTGGCGGTAAACTCACGCAATACCTTTCTTTCCTGATATGCATATCGATCTGGTGTCCTTGCGAGTATGGTGTAGTTATGGGGTACAATGACATAGACATGAATGGAAGCGCCTTCCTTCAACAAGAACAGGTGCTCCAGTCGTTCTAGCATGCGTGTGCGGGATGCGGAGTCCCTCACCACACCTCCTCCCGATGGCTGCATGTGAGTCCCCACGTCTCTGAGGTCGAAGGCGATGCTGATCTTTGTGACAAGCAGCTGGCGGGTTGTGTCCAACGGTGCGGGTTGAGACGAAAGGAAGCGTTCGAGATAACCCAGATCCTGTCCAAAGTGAAAACGAACCAAGCGATACCAGACTTCGAGTATCTCTTTCGAGGTCGCGTCGCCAACATTCTCGGCTTGCCAGTAGCGAGGGCCCGATTTGGTGGAAGTTGGCTCGCTTGTCGGCAATGCAGCAACGTCGCGTACTACTGAAGACAAGACATACTCGTAGATCATGTCTCTAAGTTCCCTTGGTAGTGTCGCAATTACGTTGTCGCAGAGTCCCCGACATGCAAACTCGTGATTGGTGTCCATGGCCTTTGTGGCGGAGCGTCCGGACATTTCCATTTCGTGTTGTGAGATCCTTACAGCAGTGGCGAAGCAGCCAAGATGAATTGCAGGCGCGCTGTTCGAGGCGAAAGTAGGATAGAGCGTCGAGATTACCAAAAGTACCGGTCGCGATGAGAGAGCCGGGAGGCGGAAGGTCAGGGGCGCAGAGCGGGGTTATGTACCACCTGCGCCGAAGGCGCAGGTATATTCACGACAGGCTGCATGGGTACCTATTGTTCTGCTTTCGTTTGTTTTGATCCACATCGAATCCATCAAACTCGTGTGTCGTTTAGGCTGGCGACTGTGGTTTCACTTCATGACAGCTTGGAGACCGATGTGATGCGGAGGCTCCCGAGGTCCCCAGCTAGGTAGCGTGGAAGCTAACCAGGTCTGGGCAAACCTCACGCGTGATCACGCGCTTCTCGGCGCGTCGTTCCCCGCAGCTGTTCCAGGCCACCTGGTTGACACCCCAAGACGTCGCTCGGCTTTCCAAGGTTGCTATCGTCGATTGCCATGTGACTTCGCGTGACGTGGGGTTCAGCTGGCGGATCCCAACGCGACTCTTCGCTCCGTGCAACAAGACAGACCGTGTCGACTGAGCAGCACCTCCACAGCTTCCTCCTCCACCACCACTCCGAAAGCCACACCCTCTCGCGCAAGACGCAGACATGCCGAACACCAAGAAGGCATCTGATGGCGAGACGTAAGTGGAAGCCCTTCCAAGTGTTGGAAATGTGTTGACGCATTTGTAGTCTGGAGCAACGCCTGAGCCATTACCTTCGAGCGAAGCAGAACCGCACACAAGTCCTGTTGGCAGATGACCAGCGTATACGTGACAGAATCAACGAGATTCAGGCCGAGAAGATGTTACTCGAGGATGAATGTATGTTGCTCGAGGATGAGCTTGAAAGTAATCTGAGGCAACGTCTCGAAGATCCCGAGGGAGAGCCACTTCTGCAGGAGCTGATGGCAGTGGAGCAAAGCAAATGTCGTCCGGTATGCGAAGCTATGCAGCTGAAACTGCCACGCGAAATTCGCGACATGATCTATGAGCAAGTTGTGGGCCCCCCAGCCTGGCACAACGGCAAACATACCGTGCCTGTGGTAGCATCGAAGGATCTCGGTGTCTCGGACGCATTCAAGCTTGTCAGCAACAGTATCGGTCCGTTGGCCAGCGGCGGATATGACCATTTTGGCGAGGCCACACGGCAAGAGTTGGCGGAGTACTGGTACACAAGAAGTACATTCGACTTCGGCACAGACTTGCACCTCATCAAAGCCTTCCTCAACGGAGTTGCTGCCGGTACTAGTTGCAAAGCTCTTGAGATAGTCCGCCAGCTGGAGATTACAATCGACTGCAACGACGAGTTCGAGCCGGAAACCGAGCGACTTCTGACCAGTGCTCTGGCGGATCTTACACTACGGATCCAGCCGACACGGTTACGAATTTACTTACACGACATACAGGGGGTTGTGCGCTACAATGACGACCGGCTTCTGATCTTACTACACAATGTCAGGCAACTGCTTCCGGACCTTCCTGGTTGGACGATCGAATTCGTTGTGCACATGGTCACGAATGACTGTCGATTATCGCGAGGATGGCAAGGATATGCATTCGAAGATATCATACCAGGGCATCACGTCAACCTGATGATACCTGGGAATACAGGTATGTCACTCGATGAGTGGTCGGATAGGTTCAGACAAGTAAGTGATGATCTTACCGTGGCATCACTATGCAAGCTGACTTTGGAAACGCAGCTTCGGAAGGAGCTTGAACAGTACTACGACGATACACTGCACGAAGCAGACGACGAAGACGAAGAAGAGAATGAGGATGAGGAAGAAGACGGTACTGATGACGAGCGCGACGAATACATGCCTCTTGATAGAGATGAGCTTCTTGAAATCGAGAAAGAGTTGGGTGGGTGTCAGGAGGATACGATTATATGGCGGGCCTTGGGTGCCCGATGATGTGTGGGCTCCGCTATTCATGGGTGGCAGGTTTCTCTAATCGCCAAGGCACCTCATACAAGAGAAAAACTAAACAGGTCTGCAGGCTACGTTAAGCTAAAACCTTACGAAGTAGGTGACCTAACGTCAACGTAGGCTTTAGGCTTTAGGCTGTTCAGTTTTTTCCTGGGTTAGCGTGATGGGACGATTACGGGCTACCTTTACTTGCGATTAAGGGCCTCACGACTTCATGTTTTACCTTCTATCACTTGCTGACGGATGCGCTTGCTAGCGGTCTCATCTTGCTCGCACTTACCCGACCACTAGTGCAGTGGCCCAATCCAGTACTTATACCGAGTTCTTCCACCAGAACTCCTTCTACTCTCAACCTACAGCTTCCATCCCTCGCGTCACCCCATTGAGATGGCACCTACTGCGACACCCCCAAGCGAGACCGAGCGCCTGCGCGCAAAATGCCATGCGTGAGTTCAAATCACTGATTGTGAGCGATAGCTGACATCGTTCATAGGGCGCTGAAAGGTGCGAGTAAGACCGAAATGAAGCAGAAAGCGCTGGACCTCCAGCGGCAGACATTGCGAGATCGCGAACACCTCCTGAGAGAAGAAGCTCATACCGACGGTATCAAGGCGGCCGATGCGCTCTCAGCATTTGCGCAGGCTGACTGCTTGGAGCTCTGCACCAAAGTCCAGAACGCTTTTCCCCGCGAGATTCGGGACATTATCTACAGCTACATCACTGGTGACAAGGACGTCTCCATCACTTGCGATGTGCCCTGGTGCCACACTTGCGATTGGCACTCTCATTCTTCGAGGTCGCTTTCGAGTTGCGTTCCGGAGTACGTCAAAGCAGCTCATTGGTGGAAGCGCGAGTACATGGGGGCACAGATGGTACGAGAGATCGGCGAGAACTACTATCGCTCTTCTCACTTTGTCTTTGAACCCATCATCTCCAATGTTGTTCCATTCCGCTCCGTGGACCACCTGGGTCTGGGCTTCAAACCGGTAGATTTCATCTCAGATGTGGAGATCACGATCAATTGCCGCGACTACAGGTTTGAGCCCATGGACCGCGAAGGCAACAGCATTTCCACCGACATACATGCAAGATCTGCAGACTCTGAGACCGGCTGGGGAAATGCGCGTCATAGAGAGGTGCCAGACCGTCTTCTCATCGAGCTAGAGTCGCTCTTTGGTTTCAGACACGGTACTGCGATCACCATCAATCTCGTATCCAAGCTTTGTGAGAAGGCTACCTTGCTTGAGCAGCAGAAGTGGATGGCGCATACTGTCGTTCCAGTCATCTTCCCAGTTCTCCAGCGACTCAAGGATGCTGGTTGTCGAATCCGCATACTTCTCTCTGCTAAGGAAGAGTGGTCAAAGAGATCATTCACGTCCAAGTGGAACCCTAAATCTTCGGAAGCCATCAGCCAGGACGTCCAGGAGGTACGTTTGCAGGGTCGCTGAAACCCTGCTTTTTAAAAGCTAACATCTGCAGTATGTCAAAGTTGAACAGGACCGCCTGTCGCAAGATGAGCTAGGGTTTACCGTTGTTTCTGACGAAGAGTCGGAAACTGGTACAGCGTCAATATGGGACGCCACTGCTTTCGCTGGGGAAGAGGTCACATCTGACAATGCCGACGAGGCATAGTTCTCGGAACTCTCGATGTCAAGCTGAACATTGAGGGGTGATCTTGTGGCGACGTGACAGGTTGAGGGGCAGCAGTTCCACTGACTCCGGAAATGTCCTCTCATGGCCTCAAATTTTTAACTTTCATATGGATACGTTGCATGGAAAAGCGAATGGAAACTTTTACGTGCAGTCTTGTTTGGGACGGTACTAGCTACTGGGGCGGACGAAAAAGCGATTGATGCGGTTTTTTCAGGATTTTCTTTCTTTATAAAAGCTCACACATCAGCCATTCCATAGCCCTGTTAGTGGTTTCTTCTATCAAATACGAGTTTCTCTCCGAATCCATCTTAGGAGAAGCTTGATAACGCAATGTTCGCGCGTGAAAGCATTGTCGCTCGCTAGGCAGAAACACAAGCTGCTTTCTCACTCCTTTCCTCGCCTACAAATTGGGGTGCACCCTCAGCATTGATCGCCTGGTCTCACTACACGGTTCCACACCCAGGTTCAACCACAGCTCCATCTTGCAAAACGTAAACAAGATTACATTCCACCTTACTCGTACCAAAATGACAGCCCCATTACGGCCAGAAGAACAGGAAAAGCAGCTCCGCGACAAGTGCTACGAGTAAGTCCCGCACGAACAGGGCGACATATAGCTACTGACGTACAACAGGCTACTCCACACAGAAGCCAAGCTCCTACGACGGTGGAAAGAGGAGGATGCGCGACACGAGGCTCGTAAAGCCGAGCTGCAAGCACGGAAGGAGAGGACCATCAACGAGCTGAATCAATACGCTCAGGTCGCCTGCCGCAACCTCTGCGACAAGATCTTCGAAGTCTGTCCACGCGAAATACGCGATTACATCTACGCGTACCTCCTCCCCGACTCCCCAGTCGCCTTAGAGCATTGCGACCATCGCGATTGCGATAGCAGGCCCTGCGCCAAAGGAAGCGAAACACTGTATTACTTCGTTGAACCCCACAGTCATCTCTTCAAAACCGCATACGTCATTCCAGAATTCTCCGTAGAGCTGCTCGAAAAGTACTATCGCACATCCACGTTCGACCTACGAGACCAATTTGCAAGGCTAGGCGCCTTCCGGAGCTTGGATAGAGGAAACTTTGGTGTCATACCAGCCAACTACATCCTCAACGTTTCCTTGTTCATACAATGCGACAAATACGACTTCGACGGGGTAACGGCACCGCTGACCATTCCGTACGGGAGACATCCGCTCAAACCCCGGCAAGCGCTGCTCGCAGACCTCGAAGCACTATTCGGTTTCAAGGCTGGCACTAAGGTCGATTTACACCTCCTCGTAAATCGTGACCGGTTGTCGAATGCGCACGTTGCCGAATACTGGGAATGCGACACCGTCATTCCAGTCATCCTGCCGACGCTGCGTAGGCTAGCTGCTGCTGGTACGAAGGCCACGTTGTGTTTTGATAATCTTGGGTGGGGGGTGACTATTGATCATGGAGATGTCACGATGGAGGAGATAAAGAGCGGTTTGTCGAAGAAGATTGGCAAATGAGCCAATTTTAACAGTTCCTTATGTAGAAGCTGACAAAAGCTGCTGGCAATGCTAGGCGATGAGGGTGTCTGCTCCTTGCTTCTTTCCTTCCTGTTCCAACGGGTGTGTTTTGCCCTCGAATATATGGATAGAGTTTTCGAGGAGCTGATGGCTGGCGTAAGCGGAGTATGCTGTCGATCGCAAGTCATGCAGGGTCCAGACCACATACGCAGGGCGTGAGTACCTGAATAAGCGATCAGCAGCACCCTGATAGACCATAGTACGACGTCTTGAAATTGGGACACGTTCTGTTCGCGATCTTCCTCAATCTTGATCAAAGGACAAAGTATGTGCATCGTGATGTACGCGATTCCAAGGACAGATGAGATTGGTGGTGTGGGTGCTTGTACATGCGTGCACCTTCGGAAGCGTGCTTTGAGGTACGCCAGCGAGCTCATGGATGTCTTGTCAGACTAACACCAATGATAGAGCACTCTCCGAAGAGAATATACGCAAAGCGCGTGTCGCGAAGCTGCAAGAAGAGCTTGCAAGCCTAAAGAAAGATCTCGCCAACACCACACCAACAACAAGAGACGCAGTCGAACAAGTCGCTCGGACGGAATGCGAGCAGCTTACCAACAACATCATGACCAAATTACCACGTGAGATCCGCGATATGATCTACTTCCACCTCAGCACACGAGACCGCGAGCTCATCGAGCGCGAACACTTCCGGACGACCCTGGATCCGATAACGAGGCTCTACTCGTACGACTTCAACAGATGGAAAGCACAACACTTCCCAGCGCACTACTGGAACACCGATTACGTTGGCCAGCCCTTCTACCGCGAGCTTGTAGAGAACTACCACCGAACAAGCACCTTTCTCTTCGGCGACGATCCAGGAGTAATGAAGCGTTTCCTCACCACCGACGAGATGAAACTAGGCATTCCCCCAAAGGCACTCGTGTCTAGCGTCGAGATCGGCCTGAATGCTGTCTCGCATGACCGCGGCTCTTTCCGCGCTTACATGTTTGGCATACCCAAGTCACCGGAGCGAATGCGTGAGGCTCTCGATGGCATCTTCGAACTGAAGCCTGGCGCTAAGATTGTGATTCGTTTCGTGACTGAGGCGAAGACTAAGGAGGAGAGAGATGAGCATTGTAAGGGGGCGATGGCGATGCTATTTGATGACGCGCAGGTGGAGAAGATGAAGATGTATAAGGTTAAGTTTGTGGTGGATGAGGGGCAGGTTTGGGATTTGGCGGAGGCGATGAGGGATGAGTGGATGGGTATTCATGGGTGAAGCCTTGCTACGAATAGAGAACATCAGTCTGAACCTGCAATCAAATGCCGAGGACGTGAGAGTGATGGGCATCATGTGAGGGAAAGCTGCCCAAAGAAGGCCGCTAGCGTGTAACTCCTGTCAGCTCCGATTGGCCGAAGCATACGCCATCAGGGCCCGGGGGAAGGAGCACCCCGCCATGGCAGAAAATGTTATCGCGACACCCCTCGGCGCATGTTTCTACGCGTCAAACACTTTCCAAACCTCTCCAAACCTCAATTCCAGCCTCGCACTTCGTTTAGACGCGTCTCGATTCCATATCGCAAGATGGCTGGCGTTCCTAGCACTTACGATGGTGCGCACCTTCCGTCCCGTGCTCGTTGGGCCAAATGCTTACCCTGTATACAGCGCCCGTTCACATTGCCGTCATAGGCGGCACTGGTATCTCTTCCCTACCAGGCTTCACCCTCGCCGCTACACTCGACGTCGACACACCATGGGGCAAACCATCATCACCCGTCTCCATCCTACAACACCCGTCGCCCTCGACCGGCAAGCCGATCCCTGTCGCGTTCATCTCCCGACACGGCCTACACCACGAACTCGCACCTCATGAGGTCAAGAACCAGGCTAACATAGCCGCGCTGCGACACATCGGTGTGCGCACCATCATCGCCTTCTCCGCCGTTGGTTCTCTCCAAGAAGAAGTGCGACCGCGCGACTTTGTCATCCCCGACCAGATCATCGACCGTACAAAGGGCATCCGGCCATTCACTTTCTTCGAAGGCGGCATGGTCGGACACGTCGGCTTTGGCGACCCCTTCGACAAGCAACTGTCCAAGATCGTCAGGCAGTGCGGACACGCGCTGGAAGGAGACGGCATCTCACTTCACGAGAAGGGAGTCATCATCTGCATGGAGGGACCGCAATTCAGCACACGCGCAGAGTCGAACCTATATCGGTCGTGGGGCGGCAGCGTCATCAACATGTCTGCTCTGCCTGAAGCGAAGCTCGCGCGCGAGGCTGAGATCGGATACCAGATGATCTGCATGGCAACAGACTACGATTGCTGGAGGGGTGACGGCTCTGAGGACGTCAACGTGGAGATGGTCATGGCACATATGAAGGCAAACGCCGAGAACGCCAGGCGGTTCGTTGGCGCAGTGCTGAACGAGCTCAGCAAGGAGGAGCACACGGAACAGGTGCTCGCTAAGCACCTCGACGGACAGATGAGATTCGCAGGCGCCATGACAAAGAAGGAGGGACGCGGATCAGAGGCCGAGAAGAAGCTCCAGTGGCTCTTCCCTGGCTACTTCGACTGAACGCCAAATGCTACTAAGCGCGCCATTGACAAAGGCGCATGACATTTGACTACGATATACTCCGATATTAGGAACGGGGAAATACCTACCCCGATCAAGAATCTATGCATGCGCCCGACGGCTGACCAAGGTTCTGGAGGTAAGACGCAGCCAGAGGCGCCGATTACGGCAGGTCGATAGCAATGGTTACCCCAAAACTCCAAACAGAACTCCATGTTTACATCATGGAAAATATGCATTAGCCGTATCGATAACTATCCGTCGCCAGCAGCCCGTTAGACATCCGCGGGCACTTGTCAAGCTCGATCTCACGATTCTTTCCCTTAGCACCTTCCTTTCTCGTCTATGATCTGCGTTGCTACCTGCCGCAATCGCATCGACAGTTTCTCAGCCTACACAATGAGCGCTCGAGATGTTTATGATATTGCGAAACGGCTGAGTGAGGAATGCGGGCTTACAGGCTGCTCGAGTATTTTGTTCGGGTGACACCGGTGTATTGCGCTGATCAGGTACCAGGGTGTGGCGAGTCAATCAGATCAACAGTACCTGCATGCCCGCCATTACCTCGCAACAACGGGCACAAATTGGAGGGTGACACTGCATATCTGTATTCCTTATCATGCAGATCAATACACTTCCAGGATCGAGTTTGCATTTGCACCGCGGGGAAGACGCGCGCGCAGCATAATCCCGGTCAGACATGGGTGCACGGCGGCAGTCCTTCTCGGGTCACCACGGGAAGCATGACTATAAGACACATGATATCGTACACAGTAATGGAGCAGCTCTTGCTCGATACCGCATCCACTCGTCACTCTCCTACCAAACGGTAGCATTCGCAACCGTCATCATGGTTTCAGCGTGGTTTCTAACAAAGGTCTTTGTGGCTTTTGCGCCGCTGACGACGACCGTATACGCACAGTACAACGTCACAACACCTCAATTGCCTCTGTTGCTGGACGCTACCGCAGATGACTTGACTGCTGGACTTGAGGCTGGAGACTTTACAAGTTTGGATTTAGTCCAGGTAGGTTCCCTGTTTTCTTGCCAACTTGTGTAGGCATGGATCTACCTTGGACAGCATCGCTGACATAATGTAGGCTTATGTGGGACGCATCATCGAAGTCAACAAGACTCTGCATGCAGTATTGGAGATCAATCCAGATGCCTGGACGATCGCGAAAGAGTTGGACGAGGAGCGAGCATGTGGAAAGCTTCGTGGGTAAGTTGTGCTGCAAGAATCTGTATGATCCTTCGCTGACTGAATGCAGCCCTCTCCATGGACTCCCGATTCTCATCAAGGACAATATCGCTACCGCTGACGAAATGAACAACACTGCTGGATCTTGGTCACTGATGGGTGCCAAAGTCCCACGTGATGCGACGGTCGCTGCGAAACTTAGGGAAGCTGGTGCTATCATCCTCGGCAAGGCCAATCTTTCGCAATGGGCTAACTATCGATCCTCTAACTCTTCGAATGGATGGACTGCTCGAGGTGGTCAAACGTATGGCGCGTACTACCCTGGGCAAGATCCGAGTGGCAGTAGTAGCGGTAGTGGTGTCGCGGCTAGTCTTGGTCTCGCCTTTGGAACACTCGGCTCAGAGACTGATGGATCCATCATCTCTCCCAGCCAGCTTAACAATGTTGTCGGCATCAAGCCTACTGTCGGACTTACGAGCAGAGCTCTTGTCATCCCGATCTCTGAGCACCAAGACACCGTTGGGCCAATGGCCCGCACAGTCAAAGATGCAGCCTACATTCTCCAAGCCATCGCTGGACCGGACAGTTACGATAACTACACGTCTGCGATTCCCTGGGCGAGCAACGCAACTAATGCTACCAAGCCCGACTACGTTGCTGCATGCACTCTGGATGCGTTGGAAGGAAAGCGAATCGGAGTACCGCGCAACGCTATCGGCACTCCCAGTCCCCAATCCGCGCCCATCTACGCTGCCTTCACAGCTGCTCTCGACGTCCTCCGCTCCGCCGGCGCAGTCGTTGTCGACAACACCAACTACACCGCCTGGGAACAGTATCTCGAATCCAACGCCGAAGGCATCGTTCTCGACGGCGACTTCGTCCCCAACCTAGCACACTACCTCGAGCAACTCACATACAACCCCAATGACGTCCACAGCCTAGAAGATGTCCGTAACTTCACCCAAAACTTCCCCCAGGAGGACTACCCCGACAGAGACACAGCCGACTTCGACAGCTCCATCGCGCAATCCCAAAACTTCTCCAACACCGACATACAATTCTGGGAAGCCTACCAAGAAGACCTGTACCTCGGTGGCGAAGGCGGTCTCCTCGGCGCACTATCTACATATAACCTTGACGCCGTGGTTGTTCCTTCGCGCTCTGCATCTGGTATTTCCGCTATCATTGGCGGCCCTATTGTTACTGTTCCGCTCGGTGCGCTGCCGCCCAACACAACGGTTGTCACGAACTCACGCGGTGATTTGAATGCCACTGCACCGAACATTCCGTTTGGAATCTCTTTTGCGGGTGCGCTGTGGAGTGAAGAGAGTCTGATTGGCTTTGCGTATGCGTTTGAGCAGAGGACTATGGTTAGGACGAAGGTTGTGCCGTATATTCAGCCTAGTATTGAGATTGATAATGTGGTTGGTAGTTACTAGAGAGGGGTGGGGATGACATAATTGGGGTTCCATCGGCAGTGTATGTTGATCGGTGCGTGGTGGAGGTTGCGGGAGGAAGTTATACCGTATAATCAGCGTTGTCGTGAGACGGGGAATGTAGTCGCTATCTATCAGATTGGTCGCGGGTTAATAGGTATGGACTTTTATGAGGTCTGTAGAGCGGTCGGGAGGATGTGTGTAAGGTCGGTGGGTGGTTGCCGCCGAATGGCCGATGGAAATTGTTGCGTCTTACATCATCGCAATCACTACGTGCTGTGTTGACAATCAAGCTTTATACTTACTCGTAGCTTATGTTCTCCTACGCAATATTTCCCATTGGTTCGGTTATACTATTGCTCTCCGTAGGCTTGCGTAGCCTTCCAGGTGTATAAGCTCATATTCGGCGATGCGCGAAGATTCGCACCCTTCGTATCGCCAGTCTCAAATTGATAGTCTATGAAGATATTGGCGCTTCATTTCCCAACCCAGATTTTCTGAACAAAGCTCCGGATCAACTAAGCTTGGTTCTGATGCTGCTTCAGCGTGGCTCTTTGCACAGTCTCGGCGTTAAGCGGACTTAGCTTGTACTGGCTGACAAGATCGGGAGGGACGTGAGACTTTTGTGGCTTGATGGCATTATTGTATACGACGTGAGGTTAGCGTCGTTCCAAAAGTGTTCGTGGCTTTATGTGTAGCCAGGCTGTTGACGTGGATGGGACCAGGTATAAATATGAGTGGGAGAAAGCAATTGCAGACCACAAAGCGCCTATCGACTCCTTCTGCCAACTCAGTCAAAGAGATATCGCTCCCTCGCATCAACATAACTTTGAAAGCATCAAGTTCGATCTGCAATGTCTTCCGCAACCCAGCAACTAACGCACATCCGCAAAGTCGCCCTCATCGGCGTACGCCCCTCCACATCCCATCCTCCAACCATCCCACTAACACCGCCACCAGGCCACTGGACAAGTCGGCTCCCACATCCTCACCTACCTCCTTGATACGGGCAAACACCAAGTCACAGCTCTAACCCGACATACCAGCACCGGCACTCTCCCCACAAACCCCAACCTCACCGTCGTCAAGGTCGACTACGACGACGACACAGCCCTCACCTCCGCCCTCACCGACCACGATTTCCTCATCATAACCCTCTCCGCACGTGCTCCACCGACTCTCCACCCTCGCATCGTGTCCTGCGCCGCCGCCGCAAAGATCCGCTGGATCATGCCTAATTACTTCGGCTACGGCATCGGTGACCGCGCACTCAGTAGCAAGGCTGACTTACCCGCCAACTTCGAGCGTTACATTGACGATGTGAAGAGCACACCAGGAGTCGATTATACAGCGCTTGTATGCGGCTTCTGGTACGAATTCAGTCTCGCAATGGGGGAACCGTGGTTTGGCTTCCGGATCCGCGATAGGAGCGTGACGATGTATGGAGACGGGATGAAGAAGGTTAATGTGAGTACGTGGGAGGCTTGTGGGAGGGCGGTTGCGGGGTTATTGTCTCTTCCCGTCTCATCAGATGGTTCGACCAACGGTGTAGCACTAGAGAAGTGGAAGAACAAGGGCGTTTACATATCCTCTTTCCTGGTTTCCCAACGCGATATCCTGGATAGTTTACACCGCGTGCTCGGGACGCGAGATGCGGATTGGACGATCAGATACGAGGATGTGGAGAAAAGGTTTGGGGATGGGATGAGGGAGTTGGGAGAGGGGAAGATGTTGGGGTTTGCGAAGGCGCTTTATGCGGGGGTTTGGAGGAGTGATGGGGCTGATTATGAGAGTAAGGGGGGTTTGGATAATGGGGTGTTGGGGATGGAGAAGGAAGACTTAGATGGGGCGACGAGGAGGGCGGTTGAGATGGCGATGGGGGCGATGGGGGATGTTGAGGGGCAGTTCAAGTAAAGCGACTTGGTGGGATGTGGGGTTGTGACGTTGTAATTTGAGAAAAGGAAAGCGGGATGATGATTTCGTAGACAGGAAGTTGTGTAGCTAAATTCGATGATGTTGTGGAAGGAACGATGATGTACCATCGGCCATCATGGTTCCTGCTCTAATCATTCGGCTTCTACCCCACCTACATCCTCTCATTAGCATCTGCCTTCCCTCGCTCATTTAAGATAACTTACCAAGATTTCTCCTACTCGATACGCCTATCTCCAACTCCTGCCCTTCTCTATTTTTCCCTCGCTCACAGGTGAACCAAAAACATTCCATTGCGTGGAACTTCCGCGCACCTGCCATACCGATTCTTCGTCCTTCTTGTCATACGACTTCCTCTCCTTCCATTCTTTCCACCGCTCGCGCAGCGATCTCTTCTCTTTGTTCTCCGGCTCAGGCTCGGGCTCTGCCATGAGGGCGGCGAGGGTTGATGCCGGGACGCCACTGCCTTTGTGACGCGATTGTGCGAGCGCAGAAGCAGTCTGCGGATTGACGGGTGCTCCAGTTGCGGTTTTGCCATATTGCGGCGGTGGCTTACGTGAAGGCTTGGGATCGTAGGATATTGTTGGGTCTGGGTCTGAGCTCGGATTTGTGCTCGACGATGTTGGGGTCGATGCCACGATCTCCTTCGCCTGCTCGCTTTCCTTAGAATCCATGTCGTGGGGGGCCAACACGCACAATGCCAGCGTGTGTAAGGTTTGAGGTACGTGGACTGTTCGCAGGATACAGCAATCTGACGATGCTCAGGCGTGCAGCACAACGTTCACAATACATGTTAGCGAGTTGTAGTCAGCCTTGGCCCACATCTGCAGTCAGCATCGTATCATCGATGCATCCTGCCACCTGCCAGTGCCGAACACCCGAATGCGAAAGAAACATATGCGATGATAGGCCGTGATGGGCGCGCCGAGAACCCCGAGTCGCGGCAACAAGTCGACCCAGTATGATCTCAGGCTTCACGAGGTACTAAATCTGACATCAGCCACGATAGGAGACTCTACCCAGGTAGGCATGAAGTCGCGATAGTCACGATATTGGAAGGAAGATGGTGTTGATGGTGCGCGACATTGATGACGCCATGTACTCGATTTGTCAAAGCTTCGGTGGCGGAAGCTCTCCGCCACCCCTCCGCATCATCTCCAATCCACCGAAGAACAATTACTCTACCAGAACAACGACCACCACCTTCCCGTAAAACGAATCCATATGCGCTTCCCTTCCTTCCCCACATTCCTCCGCGCCTTCCACACGGTCACCAACACAACAAGCGCTTTTATCCGATCGAGTCCTGCTAGTACGCTCGGTCGCACTATCTACAACACGCCACAGCGCGCTGTCATATACCGTTCGATGCCAAATATCCCCTTCTTGGGTGCTCTTTTCGGATCTTCTAGCAGTATGGCGGACAACACAAACTACCCAGTCCAGAAGCCCGAGGGCGAGTGGCAGGCACAGCTATCGCCAGGTACGACAATACCCGTCCCAACTATCAGCGCATAGTCACTAACATGATTACAGAACAATTCCGCATCCTCCGCAAGAAAGGCACCGAAATGCCCGGCTCCAGCAAATTCGACAAGCACTACCCCGATGCCGGCGTCTACAAGTGCACCGGTTGCGAAGCGCCCCTCTACAAGGCAAACCACAAGTTCGACTCTGGCTGCGGGTGGCCCGCGTTTTGGGATGCCGTACCTGGCGCTGTCGGACAGAAGCCTGACCCCGGTCTTGGCATGATGAGGACGGAGATTGTCTGCAATAACTGTGGGGGTCACTTGGGACATATCTTCAAGGGCGAGAGGTTTGGTAACCCCAAGGATGAGAGACACTGTGTGAACGGTGTGTCGATTAACTTCAGTCCTGACGATAAGAACTGAGCTTCTGGGTCATGTATTGGATGAGTCGAGTGGTGTATATATGGGGATGTAGGGCTAAGTGTATTAGTGACGACGAAATGAGAGACGACGTTGATCAGTGGCTCTGATAACCTCGCGTATGACGTGCAGTGGTTGCTGGCATGACGTTCTTCTACTTATGGCGGGCTCGATTCAGCTACTTGAGCCCCCACATTACCTCAGACAGCTATATGAAGCTGCAGGTTGATCAAACTGATACATACGACCATAGGATCATGAGAATTAGGCTTCCCGTCCGCTCAGCCATATACAAGCATGATACCGGCGGATTAGTAGTTAGGTGGGTGACCACTAGCGAATCCCCGCTGTTGTATGTTTTTGCTCTTTTTTGTTCCAGATCTGAAATGGGAACTCTCGAACTCATACCTCTCTTTTTGCCCTCTTGCTCTGTTTCTGTGATCCAGCTGGACGAGCAAGCCAATGCATCCATGCACGTCAATTAAGAAAAAAACTAAACAGGTCTGCAGCCTACATTAACATAAAAACCTACAAGATAGGTGACCTAGCGTTGATGTAGGCTCTAGGCCTGTTTAGTTTTTTTCTAGTATGAGGTGCATGGGTTTGTCACACGGCTCGTCATGCGACGCTGATAGCAAACGTTGGTTGTTCCTATATCTATCGACTTCTTCACGCATCCAGCCAACAACAGACAACCCTGGGTAAGATGACATCCAACAGCGAAGACCACGCTAAGACCGATGAAGTCGACGGTTGCGCCATATGCATGAAGAAATGGGCTACCGCATGTACTGGATGCGGCAATATTGGCTACTGCTCTGAGAAATGTCGACAAGAAGACGCGCCGCAGCATAATACCATCTGCAGCACTTTCAAGGACTTTCAAAACCGGCCAAGCGAAAAACACTTTCGAGCCCTCTACTTCCCTGCCGATGAGCCCAAGCCACGATTCATCTGGCTCCTCATGGACGGAGAGAGTCTCACCTGGAAACCTAATCCTACCGATCTGGCTAAGTATGTTCCCGGAGCACCTTCGTCGGCGGACTCGTTCATAACAGATCACCGTGTCGTGCAAGATGATCATAGCGAGAACCGAGACCTCATAAAGGGTTTATGCATCGAGTATGATCCAGTGTCCCAGGGTCAGTCAGGCAGCCACAAGGGTCCGGCTTCCTTGGAAAAGCCAGCCAATATGTGCTTTGCTAGAATGATTGGGCCAGATGTTGGCGGTCTTCGCCGTGGTGGTCAGGTTGGGCGTGTTCATGGGTGGAATCCTGAATATGGACTAGAGTCAGGGGATGTGGATTGCACTTCGTTGGGTCCGCTTCTGGCATGGGTCACGGAGGTTACTTTGTATTAGACATCTAGGGGAATGCTGCGGATCTGACTGCGAGGATTGTGTTCGTTCGGGACATAATGGGGCCCATGGATATGTATACTGATAGAATAATGACTGGCATTCAGACCCAACGATAGATCGACATACCGTAGTAGCTATCAAGCCAGAAAACCTTTCGCCAATTTTCACCATGATCATGCATGCAATTCACTAGTCTACCTGCTTTCAGCACGGTAATTCACAGTGCATGCCCAGATTATTGAACAAATGCACTACGCTCTCACATACCTCGACAACTCCGGCTAGGTTGCCCTAACCGCCTGGGCAACTACCACGACGCGACTGCACACACAAATCATCAATACCTACACCGTTACAACCCGCCGTCATGCCCCGCTACCGCCTCAGCAACGTCTTCAACGACCAATACACCTACACCTACACCTACACGCCACTCACAAACCCCGACCCCGAAGCCGAATGCTTCATCTGCAAAACACCCTACTCCCCACACGACCCCGAAGGCTGCCAAGCAATCCAACTTCATCACTGCGGCCACATCATCGGCCACGAATGCTTCACCGAATGGATCAACCGCACACCCCAATCGTGGCCATACTGGTCCCACCACCTCCCTCCCACCCTGAAACCCTCGGTTGGTGACGAAGATCTCGAAGTCAAGTTCCTCCGTTGGTTGGTGCATACAAAATGGATAACTCACATAGACCACCACCACGACTTCCACCTTGAGATTCTCACCCCCCTCAAATGGCGCAGACGCGCACTGTGTGCCGTGGAAGCGCTAGCTAGGGGCGCCCTCACAGACGAGGACGTTTGCGTGCTAACCAAGGCTTCTTTCCTCACGCTCATGGACCCAGTGTTTCGGCGTAGTATATACACAAACGTTCTTGTTTTCTTGGCAGGCCTTGAGGTAGAGCTTATGGGTCCTGCAATACGACTTCACTTTTCGATTGGATCGGAAAACGTGCTTTTGGATCTCGTGGGTAGGTTGGTATGGTTAACCATTCTTATAATTTGGGTTATTATACTGGTACACGCGTGCGCTTATTCTGGGGTTACGTGGTGGGTCTTGAAGTTGGGTGTGCGGCGGCGTGGCGCCACTGAGCGAAGGAAACCTTTTGGCATGCAGGAGTTGTTTTGGAGTGGTTTTCGATTGGGAAAGAAGTCTAGATGAGCAGAAAGTATATATGTACAAAGATATAGGTATGAAGGTTACAGGGCTACGTAGACTCAATATCCCCAGAATTTTGGAAGCGTTCACTGACGCTTGACGTACTCGACAGGTCCGTCGTACTTGTCCTTCCCGATTACGTAGTAGTAACCCATGGCAAAGACAACAAGTACAGCGAACATGACTATGGACCAGTTCATGTCTGCCAAAGACGGGTTTGGCACCTCGGGGAAGCAGATCAACACGATAGCCAAGGAAAGGTATGTGATAGCGATGATGTTGATGTAAAGACCCGCCTTGCCGAGGTCGAATTTCGACGGAAGGAGTGGTTCTCCGAGAACACGTTTCCTGATCATGCAGCCGATGACGATGATGTTGGCGGTGAAGATACCGAGACCTCCTAGTGCGATGACGATGTTGAAGGCGATGGCGGAGCCGATGTTGATCAAACTCAAAAGTGCGGTTCCTACGAGGGTTGCGATGACGGAGTTGACGGGAATGTCCCAGCCTGGTGGTACCTAGGATCGAGATTAGCGAAAGGATCAGGAAGCGGGAAGGATGAACGTACGTAAGCGAACCAGTTGGAGAATGGGAGACCTTGATCACGGGCGAAGGACCAGAGTTGACGGGACGAAGCTGTCACCTGGTTGACCGAGCTGAACATGAGCAATGAGCAGATGAGTACCACCAGGATGTTGGTGGCCACGATTGATCCTGTCGCGTTCAACAAGATCTGGATCCATGGCTGGCCAAGCGGAGTGGCGAGAAGCGTGTCGAGGTCGTTGCCAAGAGTGGAGAAGACAGTGACAGTCATGATGAAAGCCAATGAGTAGTTCACAACAGCTGTGGAAACCATGGCTCGAGGACTGACCCACGCAGCATCCTTGACCTCCTCAGCGAGATGGACGGCCAAGTCAGGGTCTCCAAGGGTAAGAATGGGACCAAGAATACCGACGAGAGTCGCGAGACCGGTGTTACCCCAGCCACTGGGGTCTTCGAAATGGGTCCATGTGGTTGTGACATCTGAGCGCTCGCCCATGACCCAGAGTACGACGATGAAGGCGAAGAATCCGAACACATGGAGGACTAGTCCGAAGCCTTCCAGCAGGGGAAGCTTCCTGACGAGAACAGTGTTGCAGAGGATCGAGAACGTGGTGATGGCGATGGACAGAAGGGTGCTATGCCAGCCTTGAATGACATATGATGGCTTGTTCAGCACGATCAAGGCTGTGAACTGATCGGCAACCGCGAAGGCCGTACCAGCCATACCTGTTTGCCATGCGATGACACACAGCCATCCTGGAATGATCGGTCAGTACTGCATATATGCTGAGTTCAACCAGAGGTGGCATACCGGTGATGTAGCTGAGTATCTTTTGGTATTTCCTTGGAGCCAGTTCTGATATCCAATGATATTGCCCACCAGCTGTCGGGGCCCTATATCTGTGTTAGCGAGACGCATTGATGTCTTATTAATTTCACCATCACTTACATGGACACCATCTCTGCCAATGAAAGCGTGACGAAGAACATGCCGAAGCAGACGACGACAAGTAACCAGATACCACCGGCAGCTCCTCCATTGTAGAGTGAGATTCCGATACCACTACAGCAACGTCAGCAGTCTTCTTCATCTTCGAGGGACAGTACCATACATCAATGCGTATTCCCATGTGCTGCCAAGGAGTACAGCGAAACCGAAGATAGTCAAAAACTTGAATTGCCGCTGATCTCTTGTCAGTATATCGGAACCTCTCCGGCGGGCGTTTGCGACATACCCTCAACTCCTGCAGCTTGCCCATGCGATCCATATCGCTCTCATCACTATGTGTGCCATACTTTTCACCCACGGCAGTCTGGTTCGCCAACTCGATGCTGTTGGGAGAGTCGATCGCCTCCGAAGGACCCTTCATCATGCTGTCGTTCATCGTCGCGATACGTGCATGCCACAAGTAGATGGAGGAGTGTAGTCGGTAACCAGTAATCAGAAGAAAAGAAATTCGACAGGGTGGTTCCGATGTCTGCTGCGGGACGTACTATCCCATTCGAGAGGGTGGCGCTGGGTGGAGCAAACGTGCTCAGCTGTCTCGTTCGCTTGGAGACACTGCAGGGTATTCTGGTACGTAATGTTGGGAATCAAAGGATCTGGAGGATCAGATTGGAGACCGGGGGGCTGGCGCATGCCATGAGCTTGTTCGCGTGTTCGCAGCTTTTCATGTGGCAGTGGGAGTCTCTGGACGCACTGGACAGGTTCAGTATGCTCCGCAGCACGTATTGTAGGATCTAGATGCCCTTCGCTTATGCGCAGAGAAATGGCAGTCACAGAAGGACCGGCTTGCGCCGCAGAACTGCCGTTAGTCTAGGATCCTGACGGGTCGGGAAGCCCACGCGTGGGATGGCTGCTCGACTGCATTTCTCCTGCGTCGGAGCTTTAACCGGATGGGAACATTGTCTTTGGCGACTGCAAGCATGATGACACAGTGACATGTTGATCTGCAACATCTTCGTGAGTCTGCCATGCGTGGAATGCAGCCAGAGATACGATGCGAAGATCGAAGATGGGGACAGTGGAGTGGTACATGTGAAATGAGAGATTGTTCTGAATGATGGTGTGGGGTGAGTGGCGCCGACGGGACGGCTGGTGGACTTCTGGAGACTTCAGGCCTTTAGCGCAGGGAAAAGCTTGAGTCAGTCCGGGCCGCTGGCCGCGCGTGTCAGGACTCGAGGACAGCATTGCGAGCTAACAATCAGACCACGCCGATGCGACTCACAAATACTTCCACGAGTGAAGCGAGCCAAATACATATCAACGTGATCTTGTCTACTGCGCGCTGTAAATCTCTGACGCGAGAAGCACCGAGAGTCTTATGACAGACTCGCCGTCTCCCGTACAGCCCCAAATACCCGGTGGGAGCGGGCTGCGGGAATTCCGACCTCTTCGTTTTATGTATGTACAGTAGGGCCGTACTGCATACTTGTTGCTCTCTATATACAGGCACGGCACGGTTCGGTCAGTGCTCGGCCGGTTGCGCACGAGGAAAAATCGATCGGGATTGGATGCTGGGTATCATCATCTCGGCATCCCAGCCCTTGGCGACCAATGCAGGCAAAGTCCCGGAGGCGAGCGGCTATCAGGAGCCAAGGTAGCGACCCAGTATTCGGGATCACTCTTGCGCCTCACGTTCTCGAGTGTGATGGAGGGACATGAGTGACACGGTAAGATCTGTTCTTTGAGGCCCGACATGTTTCCAACAACCAACGGTGTCCAGAACCTTATTACTGCATGTCGTGCGCAACATAGCAGTCGTTTATAACGTCTTTTTGCCAGTCTGTTTGGCCTCACGCGACAGATGGCGTACTCATCCAGTTCCTCGCCCCTGGCCAGGGCGTCGGACAACCGCTTTGCCCGCATCACAACCACCGATCAGGGCGCGACGCTTTGGGTCGTCACGCTTCTTTCCATGATTTATGCGGTCCTGGTACTCGCAGTTCGTCTCGGGTTCACGAAATGGAGAGCGCATACCTGGGACGACTTTGTCGTCGTAGTAGCACATGTACGCGTCGCGTTGCCCCCCACCTTTACTGCCTTTATCAGTATGACCCGAAGCTGACGTCAACACAGCTTTTGGCGTTCAGCATGTGGGCCTTCTTGTTTTCAGCGCTGAAGAATGGTCTCGGGAAGTCGTATAGCATCTTAGAAGATGCAGAGATATCTAAAACACAAGAGGTTAGCCGAAGGTTTCTTTTCTACCTCCAATCCATCCAATATGCTGATGTGCGCTAACACTTTGGATGTTGTCAGCTTTATTTTACCAGTCGGATCTTGCTGTTCATCGCACTCGGTTTTTCGAAAGTCTCCATCCTAATGCTCATCCGGTCTGTGTTCGCCCGGAACGTCAAGGTCTCCATACTAGCGATTGGTACCGGGGTGATCGTAGTGGTGTTGGGCCTGATTGGAGCCATTGCAACCACGACCTATTGTTCAGTCGATACCGTCATACCGAGACCTGGTGACGAGTATTGCGTCGATTCAGTAAGTCTAACCTCCGTCTTCCTCGAAAGGCTGTACTAGCTCGCATGAGTGGTGCCTCATCTTTGGTAGCATTCCCGTCAATGTCCCCCTGCGAGATCCACACATGTTTCTGCACAAACACTGACCTGTTAGATTCCCTGGCTAAAAGCAATTACTATCGGTGACATGATCACCGAGGTAATCATCATGGCCTTGCCGATAATAGGCTTCCACTCGTCTCTAATGTCGATCAAAAGTAAATTCATCGTTGTGATGGCCTTCTTTACGAGGATACCGTACGTATGAACACCGGATCGAGCTGGCACCGAGACTAACACCTTTGTAGAAACGTTGTCTTCGCTCTTATGCACTTCCTCGCGTATGCCGAATTCGTAGAGAGCCGTGAGCCGGCCATTCGCATCGTCCTGACCGTCGCCTGGCAAAGCGTTCTTCTTTCATTCAACCTCATATCCGCAACAACTCCACTCCTCAAAGGCTTTACCCAAGGATTCATGACACAAGGGGTATCCCTAGGATACTTACGTGAGGGAACAACGGGCGGAGGTAGTGGGATGTCAGGAGGCAGCTATGAACTCAAGTCCCTGACGAAAAGTACTCGATCGAAGTCGAAATTCTCGTCGTTGAAGCTGACGCCGTCGGATGCATACGCCACCACAACAGTCGAGGGGAACTCCGAGGAAGATACCCTCCCACCCTCAAGACTAGACCGCTTAAGGGGTCAGGAGAGCTCCAGGAAATCGACTCTCCCACCTTCAAGGATGGACTGCATGAGAGGTCAGCGAGCGGAGCGTGCATCTATTGCTAGTCAAGAGTCGCAAAAGATCATGATCAAACAAGAATGGCAGATTTCAGCGGCGTAGACCGTATGAGTATCTTTCCTGAGCATGTGGTGTTGTATGCCATGGGCTTGTACCGTAGCGTCCATTCCAGTTTATATGCAGGTGCCGAATGCGTTCTTCCCTTGCGAGACAAGGATTTTGCAATGCGCTTACCTAAGCTGCCGGGATTACCCCGCCAAGTGGCGACGCAACATTAAGCTCCGACATCTCCAGGCAGGCGACCACCCACACTTCCCATTATCTGTTCACCAATAAGATGGCAGGACTAATCTTTGGGACGGCACATTTCTGGTTCCGGGCGCTAACAACGGTCGAGAAAGCGATAATGGCGTACCCATTCTTCGTCGTTCGCCGAATCGCTCCTTCGCTACATAGCGACCAGTCATCTGCACTTCTTCCATTCTCATGAGACTCGATTCCGGAAAATACGGTGTCACACCCTTATCATCAAGCGTTGGCGTGAAGGCAATAGCATCTGACGATGGAAATGAGCTCAAGAAAAAGAAGATAGGGTCGCGTGACCTGCATGTCGACACCCAGGCGAACACCACATCTTCCGATATCGACGACGTCGAACAAGACAAGCCTAAGAGCCAACCAGTGTCATGGAGCGAATTACCTCGCAAAGACCAGCTCTTCGTCCTGATGCTTGCTCGTCTTTCCGAACCTCTAACTCAGACCTCGCTAGGCGCATATCTCTACTACCAACTCCAATCCTTCGATCCATCACTCCCAGAGTCGACCATCTCGTACCAAGCTGGCATAATCGGCGCAGCATTCCCAGCGACTCAGTTCATGACCGCAATGCTATGGGGTCGATTCTCGGATGCAGAGTACGGTGGCCGAAAGAGAACGATATATCTTGGGCTGCTTGGCACCATGCTTAGCATCATTGGCTTTGGGTTCTCGCGCAGTTTCGCTATGGCAGTAGCGTTTAGATGTCTTGGTGGCATACTGAACGGCAATGTTGGCGTGATGAGGACTATGATCAGTGAGATCATCAAGGAAAAGAAGTACCAGAGTAGAGCCTTCCTGATCTTGCCTATGATCTTCAACGTCGGTGTCTTGGTTGGTCCTATAATGGGTGAGTATCATCGGGCTGTATACATAGAAGGACGTACTGACAATAACAGGTGGTGTGCTAGCAGACCCCTTTGCCAGCTACCCGTCTCTATTCGGGCCCAACTCCACTTTCGGTGGCAAAGACGGCGTACAGTGGATGAAGCGATATCCTTATGCCCTACCCAATCTCACGAGCGCCGTGTTCCTATGCCTATCATCTTTTGCCGTTCTCTTCTTCCTTGAAGAGACAGGTGAACTCTGCAAACACAGGCCCGACCCAGGTCTCCGCGTTGGCCGATGGATACGTCGAACGATCTTTCGCCAGAACATCGCAACTGAAGATGGGTACAGCGCTGTGCGGCAGGATGACTTTGAGCTACAACCCACACCAACATCGGTACATGCACCATCATCTGCTAGTCTTGACAAGTCAAGAATTGTCGTCAGACAACAGCTACCCTTCCGTCGTATTTGGACTCGCAACCTCGTCACAACGCTCTGTGCGCACGGCGTTCTTGCTATGCACGTAGGTACCTTCAACGGCCTCTGGACTATTCATCTCTCTACGCCTCGCTTCGACCGTAGTCACCCATATCCCCCGGGTTTCACGCCCCACGGCCTCTTCTTTACCGGCGGTCTTGCTATGCCTCCAGCACGTATCGGTATCGCACTTGCCATCATCGGTGTCATCGGCATACCCTTGCAACTCTTCGTTTACCCACGAGTTGCGCATCGTCTAGGTACCGTGGGTTGTTACCGCATCTTCCTCGCTCTCTTTCCTGTCATGTACACGACAGCTCCGTTCTTGAGTCTGGTTCCCAGCTGGACGTCCCCGCCTGATGGTGTCAGCGGACCTTGGATATGGATCGCCATCACATGCGCTTTGTTCATACAAGTCCTCGCTCGCACATTCGCCTTGCCGTGTACGGCTATCCTCATCAACAACGTTAGCCCGCATCCATCGGTCTTAGGTACCGTTCATGGCATAGGCCAGTCGGTATCTAGTCTTACCAGGACCGTGGGGCCAATACTCTTCTCCTGGGTATTCGGAAGGGGGCTGGATATGGGCATGATTGGACTGGCCTGGTGGTGTATGGCTGCCGTTGCGATAGCTGGCTGGGTTCTTGCACAGGGCGTAAAAGAAGGGAATGGGCATGAGATATTGCTCGAGGGGGAGAAGGAAGAGTATGATTGAGAGTATAGACGTCAAGACATCTAGAGATATCATTTCTGGTGCAAGATTCGATTACCATCTGGCAGCTACCATCTACTCAGGCTTTCTACCCTCCATCCTTATCACTACTCATCATGCCTACGTTGTCTTTTACAAGCTGTCACTAGCAACGCACAGCTACCTCGTATCCTCCTCGGTCACTTGTTGGCAGCTTCTCAAGCGCAAACCATACTCATGTATCCATCTCAGTTCACTCTCGCTAATCTTCAAGAGACCACGCCCACCAGTGTAGTCCGCAGACCTCAAGCCGCCGCCTCCTCCCCAAACCCCCCATTAACCCCCTCCTCATCCGCAAAAAGCCCAAACACCTTCTCAATCCTCTCCTTCGTATCCTTCGCCACCCCATCCCCACCCTCCCCAACAACACCCCCCAAAACCTCCATAAAAACATTCAACTTCCCCCTCCAATCCGCCACATCATCGCTCTCAAAGTCAATGTCGGGATTGAACCACTTTGCCTCCGCCGCATCGATGACCCACTTCAGCGACCTATTAAGATAGACGAGGTGGGAGCCCCGAATCTCCTTGTTGGATTTCAGATGGGTTTGAAGAGAGACCATTTCGGAGGCGAAGAAGGTTTTGAAATGGGGGTTGGAGAAAGCGGAGATGAGGAGGGGTGAGGAGGTGATTTTTGAAGGGGAGAAAGAGCCCATGCCTAGTTCGACGTCGGGTTTGGATGCGGATTTGGGGGGTAGAGAGGGGGCCTTTGAGCGCGGTTTGGCGGCCGCCTTCTCATTCGGCAAGGGTTTATATGGTAAGGAGACTAAGCCTGAGAAGAGGGGTGGGGTGACCTTGGCGGTGGGGGCCGTGGTCACGGGCTGTGGCGGCTGCGAGGGTGGTGGTGCGGGTATGGAAGCTGTGACAACCGTAGGTGTGGCGGTGACATGGCTTTCATACTCGTCGGAAGCATCGATCATGTCGACCTCTGGAGAGGACATACTGCTGTTGCCTGCGCTTGAGCTGCTCGTAGCGGCACTGAAGGCCGCCGCGCTGGGCTGTGACACCATTGAACTGGCGAGGGTGCGAGCACTGAAGGTCCACGCGGTACCCCAAGACGATGCTGTACTTCCAGTAGTATCGCTACTTGGAGACGACGACGGTGACGACGCGGCAGAGGTAGGTGGACTACCGAAGACACCACCGCTCGTCTCGAACGCGGCCAGTTGGTCCATAGTATCGTATTCGCACTCCATCTCATCACCGTCCTCATTCCTCAACTTCTCTTGTTGCTGCTCCACAAAGCCATGTGCTATGGACCGCCAGGTGGACTTATGTCGCGTGAAGCGAGCGTCGAAGGGCTTGTGCATCGAGCTTGAGCTGGTAAGGGGAGGGGGTAGAATGTCTATTCGGCGAAGCTTCTGGTTGCGCTTCTTCGTCGTTCGTATCGCCGGATGTGGCTTGCGGTTGAGATGGATATGCGCACGGGTGATGTGTGTCTTGGAGACGCGGGAGTTGAGGGTGCGCTTGTGAGCCATGTTGGCGGCAAGAGGTGATGCAAACATCTTGCTTATCAATGACAGAAGCGAAGATGGGCCGGTGTGATGGGCGTTCGCAAGAGATTTGGTATAGATACGATCGTGCTTGTGAGTAGAGGACGGCAAGTCTGTCCAGCTGGGGCTATCGCGAGATGGGAACGCGACGGTGACTGAGTATCGTTAGTGTGGGTCCCTAGCCCCCTCGATGCTGCGTGACCAGCGGCAGCGGAGTGTTACAAAAGTCGAAGTGAATGGGGGTGAAAGGGGAGCAAGAGCTCATAAACAGACTGGTGTGCGTCACGAGCACACGCCTTGTCACTGAATTAACAGCTGAGGGAGCGGTACGCATTGTACACAACGATTACTATGTCTTAGAACATATACAATACTTGTTGAGAGAAACTGGCGTAGCGAGGACGTTGTGGACGTATCTGTCCTAAGCACGACCTTGCAGTCCACATGATATACACTCAGCTTATTTCTACTAAGCGTTTGGGATATTCATGTATTTATACTATCAGAAGACTGTCTATCTACCACCACGCCCCCATCATTCCAAATGACAGAGACGCATCCTTGAGCCCTTCTCTCAGACACCATCCACATACTACCGCACTATACTTACCTATATACCTACCTCACACCGATACTGACCTCTACCCAGTATGACCAAACCTCTTCCTCGGATCGTAACGCTCAATCTCTCCACGAGCAGTCCGGCTGGCCTTCGGTTTCGCTCGTGATTTTGTCACCTTGTCATCTTCCACCTTTTTCTCTCGCTTCTTTGGCTCTGCTTTGAGTCCACCGGTACTCTCTTTCGCAGCGACTGGTTGTTCGTGTGTCTGAGTCGCATTCTCACCAACAGATTGCGCAGCAAACACTTGTTCCCGTCGGCGTGCTTCGAGCTCGCGTGCGTGTGCATACTCATCGACCGGCTTGGCTGGCTCTACTGACTTGCGTACCTTCGTCGGATGTGTGCTGCTACTCCGCTCTTGTGAGTCTCCGCGACGGCGGCGGCGACGTTGCCTGTCCTTCTCCTCTTCTCGGCGACGAGACTCTTCCTCTTGAGCTCGCTTCTTCTCTTCGATCTCCAATCTCCGTTCGTTTTTTGCTTCACGCGCTCGCTGCATCTCGGCTTCTTCCTGCTGACGACGCTTTGCCACCTTTTCGTTGGTGATCTGCTTCGCCCGCTGTATCTCGGCTTCTTCCTGTTGACGATGCTTCTCTCGCTTTTCGTCGGTGATCTGCTTCGCTCGCTCCATTCGCCTGTCGTCTTCCTTCTTGCGTGCAAGGACTGTCTCGTCCAAGTCACTTGAGCGTTGTGCTTGCTTCTCCGTTCCTTTCTGCTCTGTCGCGTCGATTTTGGCAAGACCGTGTGTTGGGCCTGTCTGGCGCGGCTGCGAATCTGTCATGTGGAGTCGACGCCCTTCTTGGTATGGGCTCTCAGACGGTTGTCTGATGCTGCTTCTTGACCTATAACGATCATCATGGTGTTTAGAAGCGGGAGATCGACTTCGCCGTCTGGGCTCCCGATCTCTTCGTGAATTGCGCGAGTGACGATCATCCTCGGAGTGATGTTGGCCTTCGCGTGGCCGATGTGCAGAAATCGACCGAACACGGTGTCGTTTCGCATCCGCAGGAGCTTCGTTGCGTTGTGCGCATTCGATACTGGCAGTCGACGCGTCATTGTGCGCGACACTGCCATCTTTGTCTTGTCCAAAACGGTCTGTCTCGGTATCCGTTCTGGCAGGGGAAGCAGCGGTGTGGGTGGTTGACGACTTCAAGCGCTTTGGCGGTCTGGTAATTACTTCAGGCTCGCATTGGTCGACAGACTTTCTCTTCTTGCTTATGTTAGAAGGCGATCGAGATGACGTGTCTGAGTTCGTATTATTCGACATTGTGGCGTCGTAAACAATATACTCATCCGCAAATCTCTCGCCACCAAACACCATGACGGTCCCCTCATTGCTTTCAATGACGGCCGGTCCCTTTCTTTGACCCTCCGTGGGGTCCTCCTCGCCTACTTCTGACCTCTTTCTCTTCTGTTGTGTTTGTTCCTGACCACTGTCCCCGTCCACATCTTGCTTTCTAGCTTCTTTTGGGACGAGTTGAACGTAGCCGTAATCTTCAATGGACAGTGGATCGGACTTCTCACTCGGTATGCAGGTTTCCACAGTACGAATGCGCTGGGGTGTGCTCCCATTGGCATTGGCGTCGTGTTGTTTGAGTGAGGGCGGCGTTGGTGGCGGCGTTAGACTTGAAGCTGCGCTGAAAGTGTACTCCCTTGCTTTCACGTCAACCCCAGCCTCTGTCTCTGGAGTCCCGCTATTCGAGAGTTGCGTGGGATGGGTGATAGTGGAGCGCGGCTCGATCTCTTCGCCGTAGATGTTGGGTAGGGAAAGGCCGTCAACATTCGCGTTGGCCGCGTTGCCTTGGTGATCAAACTGAACACTGGTGTCGAGCTGCTCTGAGTGTACGATGTAGTCGTCTCTTGTTTCCGACCAGACCTTGTATCCTACCGACAGAGCTGCGTCGCGCTGTTTGTTAACTAACAGCGATGCCTTGACCTTTGCTTTTAGAAGATCCTTCTTGCATTGCGCTACGTCCTTGGTCTGGAACGATGAGGTGACATAGTTTGCACGCCTATTGGAAACGTCTGGAGCGGGGAATGGCGCGCTCTGAACGACGTCGTGCGCTGATGGTCCCGGCTTGTAGCGACCAAGTGCGGCAGATCCAATTTTGCTGACGAGCTCCTGGTGTGTAGGCTCGCGATCGTAAATCTTGCGGAAACCATCGGCATTGCTTGGTGGAAGTGTTTGTATACCAGCACTGCGGTACAGGACGTGTCCTTGAGTAGTCACCTCGGCTGTCGATGGGACCGCATCATGTTCCGACAACCCAGACTTGCCGTGTTCAATCGTTGGTGTAGCAGCACTAGAAAACCTGATTCCCGGTAGAGTTGCTGCGCTGGCAAACGAACTGTAGGGAGTTGTCTCGGCTGCGACGGCGCCGATATCAGAAGTGGTGTTGACATGTTCCAGAACCTGCTGCAGGCGTGCGTCGGCGGCGGGTGCTCGTTCAGTCATGACTGGTGATGTGGATACCGCGGACACGTGAGGATAGTTGGTCTGCGGACGTTGACAAGTGATGTCGCAATATGTGGTAATGCAAGTCGGTGGAAGGTGCAAACGTAGGATCAGGGTCCAGCTGGACAATAGCAGCTAGCGCGGAACCAAGTCGAAAATTGCGTGCGTCAAACACCTCGTGAATCCGACGTCTCAATAAAGTGAATACATGTTTCCCGAATAAGAATGTGTATGAACCCTTACCCCATCCATTGTTACATTGTTTCGATGACATTATGTGAATAATTCCTCGTCCAAATTGGCATCCAGATCCGCGAGAAGTGATCAAGACGTGTACTTTTCCGCGCAGTGTCCTGGCTCTTATCGTAGCATATTCGCGATTATGGGTACAGAATCATGCTCAAGTACTCGCTCCAGTACGGTGCATTGGTGGTGAAATAGCTGAGCTATAGCGCTCAATAGATCGCTCTTTCGATATCAAAGTCCTGATTACAAACCCACCTTGTCAACTTTGTAGGGCTGAAGTCGCCAGTATGTGCCTCTTCCGAGACCTCTCCGATGTTCAAGTCTTGCGAATGAACTACGCATGGCGTGGGTCATACCAGCGAGGGAACGATCTGGTATGTGTACTCTGTGTTGAACGGACGCGGTGGCGAGAGGCAAACGAAACCGATGAGGCTTAGAGGAGGTTAGAAGGTCCTGGAGTTATGAAGCGCTTGTGCTCCATTGCTTTGGTTTCGCTCCTTCGTTTTTGTTCCCGCCCTCGTGTTTGAGAGACACATTGTGGCAGGGTGAGTACGAGTTCCTGCTCTGGCACTCACGTAAAATCCCCCTGATTAGTGATGGTAAGATAGATAGCCGTTACGGTCAAGCTGTCAATGGTCGGAGGAAAGAACTTCTGCGCTGGTAAGCGGAGCCTGAGTTTTGACAATTTGTGCATGCGTTGAAAGGTTGAAGCTTCCATTGGGCCGAGAGTCGCTTCCCCGTCTCTGCGGGGTGGATATCGATCTCAATCCAGCATGACTTGCGAGATGCACGTATGCTGCTTGGCCAAAAGACGCGTAGGCGTGTCGTAATTCCAGGACAATCGAAGATGCCAAGTTCGCGAACCGTTGACAAGCCTCGATCGCGAGGCGACTAGCGAGCGACGTTAGCTATAGCGCTGAGCTTGGAAATGTCGATGAGCTGCGGTCATCACTCGGTCGGCTGTGCTGCGGGCCGTGGTGAAACGCTGCTGGGATGCATTGCGCAAGCATCGTCAACATGCCACAAGCCTACTTGGCGTCAAAGATACAGAGGGTCGACTCGTATGAACGTCCAATGGCAGGCGGGATGATGGAGGGTACGATATACGATAGAACGAGTGAAAATGAGAGCAGCACGTGGATGCGCGAAGAACGGTTCGCGCGAGGCTGACTTGACCAAGAATAGCGGATAAGCGGGGCAGATCAGCGTCATTGGGCAGCGGCTCCCGGCGCAATTGCAGGGATGTGCGTACAGCCTCATGGGAGACGCGTATCCGGTCGACCAGCCATAACATGTCCACGCCGCCGCCGCACATCCACTAACCTGCCAGCTCATCGTTCGTTCCAGGCACCTGGTCACATCGCAAACCACACGCAGTATCCAGACGGGTATAACATGACGCAATGTTAGACGAGAACCTCCCCAGTACGTGTTCCCAGCTTCCCGGGCCAATCGCCATATCAATAGTGGTAGTGGTACTAACCACGCTTTAGCCTTCTTTCTCAAGGCCTCGACCGACAAGCTCAAGCACCACGAATCCTTCTACTTCACCCAGAACGGCTCCGAGCCCGAGGCCCAATATGCCCTCCACCACGTCGACCCAGCTTCCCACGAGGCGAAGAACACATACGCCGTAGCCTTGTTCGACTCACGCAACCCCGAGGTCCT